ACTTATATATTTATTTACTAATCGATTTATTAATCGATTTACTAATCGATTTACTAATCACTTTTAGTAACGAACTTATATGCTATTTACGCTAAACGAGTAACGATTCAAAACAAAGATATAGCGTTGGTTAAGAAATTGCGGGAAATCATGACTAGAAGTTTTGTTTAATAATTTTAGTTTATTATAATATAATGCAATATAATTATAAAGTATAACATATATGATTAATAAATATAATAAATAAATATAATGATTAAGTAAAATTAATAAATATTCGTAAATTTGTTTTATTTTTAACGGCCCTATATATATTATTTTTAGCTGTCCTACTTTAAACCCATAAGGTTTCCCTATCCTCCGTAAGGAATTTGACTTAAAAAAATCCTCCCTATGGGGTTTAAAAAAAAAAGTCCCCCATCGGCCAAGACCTTATAAAAGGAATGGGGAGGAAAACCCCATGGGGCCCCCACCCCATGGAGCAGCCTAACTTAATCTGTTATTAAAGTCGGAAGTTATTACTTTAAGCATAGCTAATTGACTAGAATTGCTTATTTAACGGTAAGTCTAAAAGAACTTATCGAAGGTCTTAATAACTCGTCTTTCGAACTTTAGCTCGAAACTAGATTGTCGAGCTAAAGCGGCTTGCTCTTTGCTTATTAGTAAGCTAGAAAGTGCATTACGGTTAAAAGCTTTTCTTTTAGCGGCGGCTGACTTAAGAAGCATATTTGACTCGTGAACTACGGTTCACGAGCTAAACATAAGATAACGGAATAAAGGCTAATAATAATAATAATTGATTAAGTAATAATTAAAGTCGTTAATGTTAACGTAGTATTATATAATTATAAAAAAAGAGTAGTAATAGTGTTATTGTAATTGTTATTATATAAAAAGAGAAAATGTTAAGAAAAAGGAAAAGGGAGCTTTCTTATATAAGTACATTTATAAAGAGGACCTACTCTTTCTAATAGCAGTTCTCTTTCGAATACACGTAGTTAAGCACGCTTAAAACAAAAAAACAGTTTTAAATAAGAAATAAAAAATAACCGTGTAAGCTTAAAACAAGTGAAAAACAATTAAATAATAAAAATAATTTATATAAAACAAGTGAATAGCAAGTAAAGTAAAAGGAACAAAAAAAGAACAGAGAATATAATAAAAGGCAAGTCTAAAAGTAAAAGAACAAACGTAAGAAATACTCTTCTTTACTAAAACAAAAAGAGTGATTATTAAAGCACGTCCTTTTATAAAATAAGTATAAAACAAAAAGAAGATAAGAACGTAAGAAAAAACAAAATAAAAGAAATAAATTAAGAAACAATTTTATAAGCTAATTTTTATTCTTCCGAAAGTATTAAAAGAATGATTTAGAAGTTGATAGACTTAAGTCTTAAGATCACTTTTAAATTAAGTAATTCACTTTTGCCGTCGTCGAAAAGCTCGTATTCGCTAAGGTCCGAGTTGTTTAAAAAGTCCGAATCTTTTTTTTCTTTTTCTTCGTCGTTTTTATTAAAAAGAAAAAAGGTTTAATCGCGGCGATAGAATCGCTTAAAGCGGTTAGCTGCAAAAGTGCTTTTAAGCTTAGTCTTATTAGTTTCTTAGAGTTTGTAGTATCTTTTATCGTAAGCCTTAAAGACGATATAAAGTCTTAGCTACTTATAATCTAGCTTAATATCCGCGGATATATCGATGCTTCGTTTAACGTCGTAAAAGAGTACTAAGTCTTTCTCTTTAATAAGTTTCGATTTTAAGACTTTGACTCGTTCTTAAGTAGCTTTAACGGTAAGTCGATAGCGCTTCTTTTTTAAAATGATCTCGTCGATATCTTCGTCTCGGAGTTTTAATTGTTTGAACTTTATAATAAGCAGATTAACGCGAGATCGAACCTTTTATTAAAATAATAACTTTTAAACTAGCTATCGTGATTCTAAAAGTAGCTTAGCTTTTCGTCCGTAATTTAAAAAGAAAAGAGTAACTTTAATAAGTGCGTGTATCGATATCCGGACCGCAAAGAGTATCTTATTGAATTTGCGGACCTAATCTTTAAATCTTTCGTTTATGACTTTCGATAAGCTATTTAAGATGTCTTTATAGCTTTTCTTAATCATTCTATTAGCTTTTGAATTATAGCTTAAGATTTAGACCTTTTTGATCTCGTACTTAATAACGAAGGCTTTAGCAATTGCTTTGTTTTCGAGTCTTTTATCGATAATCAATCTTTCGAATAATTTATAACGGCAAACGATATCTTTCTAAAAGAACTTAGCAATAGATTCGGCGTTAGCTAATCGAAGTAGCCGACCTTTTAATTATCTAAATAAATCTTCTTTAGCTAGTACGAAGCATATTATCTTTTTATCGGTAATAAGTATTCGTGATACGTTTAAGCTGACTTTTAACTATATTTAAGTAAGCTAAGTCGAGTACAAAAGGTTTTTTATTCGTTTAGCCTTACGTTTTTAACAAGGCTTATAGTTTTAAACGAAAGCTTTATAGTCTTCGTAGCATCCATTTTAAAAGAAGAGTTTTAATATACGGTAATAAGTTGATTCAACTCTTTTATATCCAGATTCTCGATAAGCGTCGGAAATAGCAATATAGCGTTTTTAAGTTCCGTCGACAACTAGCTTAATCGAGTAAGAATTGTTTGCTCGCTTATAAAAGTAATTATCTTTAACTAAATAGTTAAGTGCTTTGTTTTTGAATTTTTAAAAGTCGTAAGTCTTGATCGAAAGAAAGCGTTTAAAAGTAATAAAGAATTAAGTAATAAGCTTAAAGTCGAGCGAGTAATCGTGCTTTAAAACTCTCTTTTTAACTCGTGAATTATAATTCACGAGTCGTTTAACCGAGAATACTAAAACAATGCTTAGCTCGTTAGTAACTTAATCGTTAATATCTTTTTTTTCTTTCTTTTTAATATTTAAAAAATATTCTTTTCTTTTTTTAAAAAGACCGTCCGTTGCTATGTTTTTAATCTTAAAGATATGCTTAACTTTAAAGTCTATTAATCTTATTTACGCAATCTAATTCGTAACGAAAGCTTTAAGCAAGTCGTTTGCTAATCCGTTAAATTAATTAATTAATACTTTAACGTCGGTTTTTAAGATAAAGTAAACTTTATATAATTCGCTTTTTATCTTTTTTATAGCTTTTAAAGCACCGCGGCATTTTCGCTTAGTCGCGTTATATTTGCTTTCTGTAAAGTTCTAAAGACTACTCTCGAACTTAATAAGATATCGCTTTTTATCGGAATCTTTTTATTATAATACTGCTTTTTATTTTTTAAGACTAGCGTTTATTATCAAGTAAATTTTCTTTTTTTTTTGCTATAATCGATCTTAATAAAAGCGAAAGCAAAAAGCAAAGTTTCTTTAAGCAGCTTTATCGCTTTTTGCTAAAGCTTTAACTATTCGAATTCGACCTTTTTTCTTATAATCGCGTAGATTAAAGCAGCAATTGTAAAAAAGTTTTTAATCTAAATTTTATAATAAACTACGATCTTAATAAAAGCTCGAGCTTTCGATACATCTTCGTATTTAATCTATTTTAATATCTTCTTAATTTTAGCGGTTTAAGAATAGCGTCCTTCGTTATCCGTAACGAATTTAACGATATTAAAGCCGAGCATATAGTATTAAGATTTAATTTCGACGGTCGTTTTAACTCTTTTAAACTTTACGAGCACTTTATCGATGTTTTATATATGTTTTAAAACGAATCGTCGAATTCCGAGCAAAACTTCTTTATAATTATAAAAAGATCGCGATCTTTTAACTTTTACGTTATTTATATAAAGTAAGCAAACGTTAAGAATGCAATCTATAAAGATCTTATAAATGATTTTAACGAATTAAACGATCGAATTAATAGCTTTTATAAGTATCCGAGTCATCCGAAGCAATCCGATAAGCGTTTAAATAGCTGTTATGTTTTTAAACTTAACGTCGAAAAAGAATTAATCGTATTTAAAAAAGAAATCTAAGAGTATAGCTATTATAAGACCGGCAAATTCGTTCGAAAACTAATCTACGTTTAAAGCAACATTAGCGTCTTTGACCGTCATACGGTTTATCTTAATTACAGCAATAATCAGCTTGTATTTTCTTTTTCTTTTTTATTATAATAAATTACTTATTACGATAAAAGCTTCGGTATAATTCGAAGACCTTTTGCTTTAATCGTTTTTTTAATATAAAGATGACCATTTCTTATAAAGCTTTCGATATCGTAAACGTTTTTTCTTGCTAAGCTTCGTGCGGTATCGTTTTGATTTTTTAAAGTAGCATGACTTCTTTCCGGACTTAATTAAGATAAGTAAAATCTTAAGCTATCGCTTTCTTTCGATTTAAAAAGCATTAGTAAAGCAGCTCTTTTTTTTCCGAAATGACTTAAAAGCTAATCGTAAGTGCTTCGAATCGTTCTTTCGTTAATCTTGATTTAACTTTTAAGTTTGAAAACTTGCTAATAAAGTATTTTGAAAAAAGTCTTTTAAGCTTAAAAGGTTTCGCTTTTTTATCTTATTTAAACTAATCGTCGATTCTTTTAAGTATCTTTTTATCGGATACTTTTAAATCTATCGATTTAACTTTTTCCGCTTTCTTTTTGTATATCGTATTGTAAACACCCTGCCTGATGGGGTACTTGCTATGGCCACTAAGGCTACACTAGACGGACCTATCTTCTATAAGAAGGCATACATCTCTTAGCTAAAACAATCAACGAGCTTTCCACTTATCTTTTCTAACACTTCCTTATGAGACCATAAGGTCTAGCTTCAAAGCCAAGCTTCTATACGGCACATCTTTTTGAGTGCTTTTACATTGGTGACTTACGCAGGGATTCAAACCTTTAGTCTTTGTCTTTATACAGCCTATTACAATCGCTTGATTCGCAGTCAAGTTGATCTTCGTTCATCATTCAGCACTTCACTTTACAATTACAATTTTAAAACAATCAAAATTTTTATTCCCGATGGGTTCGGACACCGAAATGCCGAAATGGCCGAAGTGCAATATTTCGGCTCCTCGGCAAAAACTCTTTTTTATTATCAATAAGAAAGAATTTTCACTTATTAATAAAAATATCTTTTTATATCTTAGCTCTTATCTTGAATTAAAGCAATTGATATGGTCCGGAGTTGTTAGCGAAGCTAATCAATTGATTCTTAAGTTTTTTATAGTTCTGATCTTGTCTATTAATTTACTTTTACAAAAGGTCTACTCTTTTTAATTTCGGATCGAGAATACTTTGCGAAAATCGCTTATTTTACTCGTGAACCCGGTTCACGAGTTAAAATCAAACAATTCAAAAACCTTTTATCAACTCGATCATTCTTAACATATATATATATTTAATCCTTAGAATACCGAAAACCTTCTTGAGATTTCTAATATCGAAGTCGGCGCAGAATTACTTTTTTTTTCGTTAAAATCCTTTGAATTTATTGAATCTTTTAGTCGTATTCTTATAAGCTTCGGACTATCTTTATCTTACTTCGACTTTCAACTTAAACCTTTACCGCTACCTTTATCGGAAACACTTGCTCCGGAAATGCTTCTTAAAATAAACATCGGTCTTAAGATTTATACTACTCCTTTTCCTCTTGCTCCTTTTGCTCTTCTATCAAGCCTTGCGCTAGTTATAGTCGACTTTGCTATCTTTCACGCTTTTATGACTACTCGTATGCTATTGCTAGGCGCTTTAAAAGCTTCTTGCTTTAGTGATGCTAATATTACCGACTTTATCGAAAAGTACGAGGAAACTTATAATAACTTTAGTATTTTTAAAGATAATCGGTTTGTTAAACTCCTTCGTTATTGCGATAACCTTCGTAAAGAAGTTATTAAGAGCTTGCTCGAATAGAAAGCTAAGAAAGATTAGGCTGCCTTCGTTAAAGCTTTAAGAGCCGAGTTTCGTGAAAACGATATTTAGCAGATCAAGGATTCGGTCGCTTTCTTGCGGGAATTTGCTATGCAAAAACGGGATGTTAATGACTTGAAAAACTATTATCGCACTTTCTTTCGGGTCTTCGAAAGGCTTACCTTAATGCACTTCTTAAGTAAAACCGAACAAAGCCGCTTATTTCTTCTCGGATTGCTCGTCGGAATCCGAAATAAGACGATCAAGCATTATAAAGTCGACGAACTCGACTTAGACTCTTATACCGCTTTCGATAACTTCGCTGCATTCGCTTTTAAGACCGACCAAAGCGCTAAGACTATCGAAGCTATGAATCGGGAAAAGTCTTTTTTAGCCAACTTTATTAAAGATATTCGGACTTTGGTCAAAGAACATATAGAGCTAGCTAGCGTTTTTAAGTCTGTTAAGAAAGCCTTAGTAATAGTGCCGTTCATTCGTAAACTACGGTTTACGAATGAAAAAAAGGAAATTGATAAAGTAGGTTTTATAATTAAAAAGTTTTTTAACTTGCAGATTAATGCGATCTATAATCGAATTGATTACTTCGAAGACTAAGTCGCTAACTTAACTTTTCGACGCTTTATTTAATTTTAATCTTAAGTTCGATTCGAAGACCGCGACGAAGCTTTTATCAAATATACCGCTTAAGATGCCCGAAGTGAAGTCAGCTTCGAAAGAGGAGTTCAGATTGCTGTTATCGGTTACGAACCACAAGGACGAAGAAGAGAAAAAGGTAGAAGATACGGGAGCTAAATGCAAGATTATAGCTTTTGCGAGAACTCCGAGGACACAACTTAAGCTCTTTATTAATATCGAGATAAGTGTAAGGCTTTTAAAGACATAGTTAATAAAGGATATATTTATATTAGTGATTACGAACGCTTTTGCTTAAGACTTAAGAGGATCGGTGCTTTTATTATTTAAAAGAAGCAAAGAAAGACTTGGTTTAGATCTATCGTGTTAAACGTTCGTAAGACGGAATACGACAACATCTTAGAGAATCGGCTTACTAGCGGACCTAAGACTTATAGACACTTATTCTTTTATCAATAATTAATCTAATAGCCAGCTTAGTATCAGCTCGATCAAAATGTTTAGTAACTAACTAACCAGCTAAGAAAGCTTATTACTATTCTTAAAAGACCAATCGATATTAAAAATATCAATGCTATAGGATGGATTAATACGCTTAGCTACTTATCTAGCATAGAGGTTGCTTCGGTCGAGATTAACGCCGCCGCAAAGGACAAAGCCAAGAAGCCTTTTTAGCCTTCGGAAAGATCTAAGCCTATTAAGATTAAGAAGAATGTCCGATAACAAAGGGAGAAGAATTACGGCACTTTTAAAGCCCGTGCTTCTTAAGAATCGGGTACTGCTGTAAAAATAGACTCGGAGGATGGGCTGTTCGATGGTTTAATTAAGGAAGAGTCTTTTGGACCTTTTAAACCAACTGGAGCCGACGAAGCTATGGAAAATGTGGAAAGAGAGATTGAGATCACTTAGCGAGTATTAGAAGGAAGGAAGAAGAAGACTTATAAACGAAAAAAGTTCATTGACCTTTACGTTACTATTAAAGCTTAAGAAAAAGCAGTGGCGGCGATTATGAAATCGAGAATTAAAGTCCAAATTAAAGACTTGTTCGGACTCAGCTCTCGCTTCGACAAGCTATTAAGCTATCACATTCTAGTGGTCCTCGATGCTAAAGAAAACGTAAAGGTCCTTTAAGGTAAGCCTATTCTTATAAACGCTTTAACTATTAGACGTTTAGGTCGGAATAAAGAAAGCAAGCTAGACCTTTTAGCGACGCAAATCCGCAAACAACTTATCGCTCGCAATTGCTTCGAAGTGGCGATAAAGACTTTAAAAGTTTTTATTAATATCGACGGTATAATTAAAAGCAGATCTTTCTTTGATAATAAATTTAAGGTTAACGTAATAAATAAAGAGGTGGCTAAGATGGTTAAACTACTTATTATAACGGATCGAGCTTTAGTTTATACTACCGTGTTCGAAGATCTTTATAACTTCGATAAGTAAATAAACGACGTCGAAGTTATTATCGGCGGAATTATTAATTACGCCGATTTCTTTATTATTAATAATAGCAGTTACGAGATCATCTTAAGTATGCTTTTTTTCTTGGAATCTTAACTTTCTTTTTTTTACCCCGATAATGGCACGATGAAAGCCTCTTTTTAAAACTACGATCGATCTACTTAAGGCTAGATTATTATTGCAAAGGACAAGTCGGATTTGGTCGAAAACCCGGGAAACTAATCGCTAGCATGCAAGCTAAGATGGATGCTAAGCTGGAAAGAAGCTTAGAAGGAAATTCCGCCCGTAAACTATAGTTTACGAGTAGATCGGCATAAAAATAATAAAATTATAAAAAAACAATTCAATTTAATATTAAGCAAAGCTTACTAAAATCAAAAACATTAAAAATATTTGCAATTAAACTCGATAAATTAGAAAATTTTATGTTTATTATCGATAACGACAAGGACTTTTTAAAAAGGAATGTGGTAAAAGTTAATACGATATACAAAAGGAAGGCGGAGAAAGTTAAACCGGTAGATTTAAAAGTATCGGATAGAAAGATACTTAGAAGGATCGACGATTGGTTCGAGCAAGATAAGAAAGCGAGACTTTTTAAGCTTGGAAAACCCTTTTCGGAATACTTTACTAGTAGGTTTTCAAACCTGGAAGTTGGATCAAGATTGACGAAAGAACGATTCGAAGCATTTACGATTAGCTCTTAAGTTACTCTGGAAAAGAAAGAGCTGCTTTACTAATGCTTTTTAAATCGAAAAGAAGCGATAGCTTAGGATTTTACTTATCTTGGCTAAGTCCGAAAGGAAGTCATGCCGCTTTAAAAGATCAAGACGGTGCCTTACGAAGCTTAGCAAGAGAAGACGTTTACGATACCGAAAGCTTTGCAAGAGATGGTTATCTTTATGCTAAAAGAACGATTAAAGCAAAAGGTCTTCGAATTATGTTAAAGCTTTTACCGGAACAAGTGGTTTATTATAGCGAAGAAAAAGAAAGGAAAATATAAGCTGATTATTACCGTAATTAAAATAAACCGTATAACGGTCAAAAACGCTAATATTGCTTCGAACGTAAACCAGTTTTCGAACGAATTTGCCGGTCTTACGATAGCTATACTCTTAGATTTCTTTTTTAAATACGATCAATTCCTTCTCGACGTTAAGTTTAAAAACATAATAGCTATTTAAACGTTTATCGGACTGCTTCGGATGACCCGGATACTTATAAGAGCTATTAATTCGATCGCCCAATTCGTTAAGGTTATTTACAAGATCTTTATAGATTGCATTCTTAACGTTTGCTTGCTTTATATAAATAACGTAAGAATCAAAGGATCGCGATCCTTTTATAATTACGAAGAAGTTTTGCTCGGAATTCGACGATTCGTCTTAAAGCATATTTAAAATATCGACAAAGTGCTCGTAAAGTTTAAAAGAGTTAGGACGACCGTCGGAACTAAGTCTTAATACTGCATGCTTGGCCTTAATATCGTTAGATTCGTTACGGATAACGAAAGACGCTACTCTTAGACCGCCAAAATTAAAAAGATATTAAAATAGACTAAATGCGAAGATGTATCGGAGGCTCGAGCTTTTATTAAGATCGTAGTTTATTACAAAATCTAGATCAAAAACTTCTTTATAATTACTGTCTTAATCTACGCGACTATAAGAAAAGAGATCGAATTCGAATGGTTAGAGCTTTAGCAAGAAGCGATAAAGCTGCTCAAAGAAGCCTTGCTTTCTGCCCCCGCTTTTATTAAGATCGATTATAACAAGGAAAAAGGGAAGATCTATTTGACGGTAAACGCTAGTCTTAAGGGATAAGGAGCAGTATTATAGCAAGAGGATTCCGACAAGAAGCGATATCCGGCCAGGTTCGAAAATAGTCTTTGAAACTTTGCGGAAAGCAAGTATAACGCGACTAAGCGAAAGTGCCGCGATGCTTTAAAAGCTATAAAAAAAATAAAAAGCGAATTATACGAAGTTCATTTCATCTTGAAAACCGACGTTAAAGTACTAGTTGATCAGCTTAACGAATTAGCGAGCGACTTGCTTAAAGCCTTCGTTACGAACTGGATTGCGTAAATAAGATTAATAGACTTTAAAGTCAAGCATATCTTTAAAACTAAAAACACGGTAGCGGACGGCCTCTTTAAAAAAGGAAAAGAGCATCTTTTAGATATTAAGGAAAGAAAGGAAGAAGATATTAACGATTAAGTTATTAACGAGCTAAGCATTATTTCAGTATTCTCGATTAAACGATTCGTAAACTATAGTTCACGGGCTAAAAAAAGAGTTTTAAAGCACGATTACTCGCTCGACTCCGAGCTTATTGCTTAATTTTTTACTACTTTTAAACGCCTTTTCTCGATCAAGACTTACGACTTCTAGAAATTCAAAAACAAAGCATTCAATTACTTGGTTAAAGATAGTTACCTTTATAAGCGAGCAGACAATTCTTACTCGATTAAGCTAGTTATCGACGGAACTTAAAAACGCTATATTGCTATTTCCGACGCTTACCGAGAATCCGGATATAAAAGAGTTAAGTCAACTTACCACCGCACGTCAAAACTCTTTTTTTAAAATAGATGCTACGAAGACTGCAAAGCCTTCGTTTAAAGCTATAAGCCTTGTTAAAAGCGCAAAGCTAAACGAATAGAAAACCTTTTATACCCGACCTGGCTTACTTAAATGTGGTTAAAAGTCAGCTTAGACGTGTTACGAGTTCCTACTACCGATAAAAGAATAACTTGCTTCGTATTAGCTAAAAAAGATTTATTTGAATAGCCGGAAAAGCGGCCACTTCGATCGGCTAACGCCGAATCTATTATTAAGTTCTTTTAAAAAAATATCGTTTGCCGTTATAAACTATTCGAAAGATTGATTATCGATAAAGGACTTAAAAACAAAGCAATTGCTAAAGCTTTCGCTATTAAGTACGAGATTAAGAAGGTCTAAATCTCAAGCTACAATTCAAAGGCTAATGGAATGATTAAGAGAGGCTATAAAGACATCTTAAATAGCTTATCGAAAGTTATAAACGAAGGATTTAAAGATTAAGTTCGCAAATTCAATAAGATGTTCTTTGCGGTCCGGACATCGATACACGCACTTATTAGAGTCACCCTTTTCTTCTTAAACTACGAACGAAAAGCTGAGCTACCCTTAGAGTTACGATAGCTAGTTTAAAGATTATTACTTTAGTAAAAAGTTCGATCTTGCGTTGATCTGCTTGCTATAAAGTTTAAACAATTAAAACTTCGAGATAAAGATATCGACGAGATCATTTTAAAGAAGAAACGCCATCGACTTGCCGCTAAGGCTACTTAAGAACGAGTTAAAGTCTTAAAGTCGGAACTTATTAAAAAAAAAGACTTAGTACTGCTTTACGATATCAAACGCAGCATCGACATGTCCGCGAATACTAAGCTGGACTACAAATGGCTAAGACCTTATGTCGTCTTTAAAGCTTACGACAAAGGATACTATAAGCTCTAGGAAACCGATAGGACTAAGCTTAAAGGCACTTTTGCAGCTAACCGCTTTAAGCGATTCTACCGCCGCAATTAAACCCTCTTTCCTTTTGATAAGGACGACGAAGAAAAAAAAAGGAAAATTCGAGCTCTTTAGACGACTCGGACCTTAGCGAATACGAGCCTTCCGACGACGGCAAAAGTGAACTACTTAACCCAAGGATGACCTCTAGACCTAAGTCTATCAACTTCCAAATCATTCCTCTAACACTTTCGAAGAAACAAAAACTAGCTTACAAAATTGTTTTCTAATCTGTTTCCTTTACTTTGTTTTTTCCTACTTTCCTATCCTCTCCTTGTTCTACACCTATTCTATAAGAGGACGTGCCCTTAATAATCATTCTCTTTGTTATTGGTAGGGAAGGGTATTTCTTACGTTTGTTCTTTCACCTTTGGACCTGCCTTTCATTGTATTCTCTGTTCTTTCTTTGTTCCTCTTACTTTATTAGCTATTCACTTGTTTTACATAGATTGTTCTTATTGTTTGATTGTTTTTCATTTGTTTAGGCTTATACGGCTATTTCTTATATCTTATTTAAGACTGTTCCTCTGTTTTAAGCGTGCTTAACTACGTGTATTCGAAAGTGAACTGCTGTTGGAAAGAGTGGGTCTTCCTTATAAATGTACTTATATAAGAAAGCTCTCCTCTTCTTCTTTTTAACATTTTCTCTTTTTATATAACAACAATTATAATAATATCACCACCACCCCTTTTTTACAACTACATAATACTATACTAATACTAACGACCCTAATCATTACTCAATCGATTACCACTATTACTAGCTTTATTCCGCCATCTTATATTTGGCCCGTGAACCGTAGTTTACGAATCAGATATGCTTCTTAAATCAGCCGCCGCTAAAGGAAAGGCCTTTGTCCGGGATGCACCTTCTAGCTTATTAATAAGCGAAGAGCAAGCTGCCTTGGCCCGATAATCGAGTTTCGAACTGAAGTTCGAAAGACGAGTCACCAAGACCTTCGATAAGTTCTTTTAGACTTACCGCTAAATAAGCAACTCTAATTAACTAGCTATGCTTAAGGTGGTAACCTTCGACCTTAATAATAAATTAAGTAAAGAAGACGACTTGATTTTGCAATACGACTAGTTCTTGCGGGCCGAATGCGCAAGAAAGAATATAGACGCCGAAGACCTCTTTTCGGCTTACGACCAGTTTACTATTAAAGTCACCGCTATCTATTCTTTACGCAATAAGAACGCCGAAAGACATAAACGAATCAAGAAAGCCTTCGACGGCGCTCGAGGCTAATTGCTATATAACGACCATCTTAAGGTTGTATGCACCTTAGTCCGCAGCGCTCGTTAATTGGGCGTCATTTTAGAGAACTGCACCTTTAACGCTTACGCTATCCAGGTCATCAACCATTATATTATTGCTTACGTCGCCTTTTAAAAGATTATAGCTAATATAGCCCGAAGACGCAAGTTCACCAAGCTTAATGCTACGATAGTTAACTTTACTTGCTAGACCGTAGAAGATAAAAACAATACTAAGTAGAAAGATGAGATCGCTATTCTTGACGAAAGACTCTTAAAGAAGCTAAGACTAAAGGTCTTATTATATGGCCTATTGATTTTGGCTCTCGACAATATTAAAGGCGAATACGACGAGCTTAAGGAACGTATAAAGTTTGCCGACGAAAATCAGACTTGGAATTTCGTCTTGCAAAAAGAGCCCGAATCCGGAACTTTATCCGTAAACTATAGTTTACGAATGGAAGATGACTCAGCAATTGAAGCAAGACTAAGTCAACCCTTTGCTCTTAAGACCCTTTTGCCCAGATCACTTATTGCGCGCTCTTCGTTGTTACTAGCTTTGTTTTAAAGATCGACGTTATCCTTTGCTAATAGAGCCTCGAACGCTAAACTAGTTGCTTCGATCATGTCTACTTTATGCAAGTCTATCGACGCGAGCTCTTTTGCAGCCTTTGCACTCGAAATGCAACGCGATCTTTTCGAGAACCAGCTGCTACTAGCACTACTCGTTAAAGAAAGAGACAGCTTCGAATACGAACTAGCTAAAGCTGTATCGAACCGCTGCTTAAGACTCGTCGAGATTGAAGACTTTATAAGTATAAACGTAGCTTTTATCAACTTTTGCTAAGACTTTTATTAATTAGCTTTCGACCGCTTGAACTTAAACGAGAATATCGATAATGCTTTTCAAGTTATCGCGGAATCAACTAAGAAGGCTATTAGCTAGATCCGCAAGCTTTTAGAAGACGAATTTTCTGATAACGCGATCTTACGACTCTTCGACCGTCGTAGCTAAGTAAGAGCAAGTAAGGAAAGAAGTAAGGTAATGAACTACTTCTTGCTATCCGAGATCTTTAATTTGAGCTTTAACGACGACGATTGCGATTGCATAAAGGTCTCTTAAGAAGTGAAGAACGTATTAGAATTTAAAGATAGATTTAAAGAACTCTTTGACTTAGACGTTTAAACGAAGCTCCGCTTTAGCCGCAAAGTCTTACCGTCCGCCACCGACCTATCAGAAAGAGTCTTTTGCGAAGTTTATATCTTCGAATACGCTAAATACCTTAGACTAGTTACGAAAGGCCTTATAATAACGGTGATCCGTTCTAACTTGTGTCGATTTATCGAGGCTTTTTAAACTAACGCCTTTAATAATTTCATGCTTTACCCGAGCAACTAATCGATATTCGCCACCAAGACCAAAGGCAGTACTTTAGCTAAGAAAATGTCTAGCTTAAGCTCTTCTAAGTTTAAAGCTAAGCCGATGTCTCTTAATAAGCTGAACTAAAGCATTAGCTTGATGAGCACCGCTTAAAAGAATAGCCCTTTTAACACTTTAGATACGGGTAGCTATACGAAAGTTTGGCTTATATTAAGAGCTTCCTTTTTAAATAATAAGCACGGCAATCAGACCTTCTTTATTATCATGAACAAAGAGATCTAGATGTACTTCTACCACTTTCGGACTAGTGACTTAAGAGGAACTCCGATTAGTGCACTCTTTAATATAGTGTACTCTTTGACTTAGCAAGTCTTTCGAAGCTATCATAAGCTATACTTTGCCGCTTTGCTTAATCGCCGAAACGGAAACTATAAGCTTATCGCTTACTCGGAACCTTTTTAGCTCTTTGGATGCAACAATAATGCTCGAATGATTGCGATTAAGCACGACGCTAATATTAAACGACTCGTGAACCGTGGTTCACGAGTAGAAGACAGAGTTTTGGATTACCACTTAATACTTTACGGCGTGAAAAGTCAGATCGGAAGCTTAAGTATTTAGCTTAAGAGCTACACTTACGACACTACTCTTAGAAAGACCGTTAAATAAGAAGCTTTTAGACTTAAGTCGAAGACTTTGAATGCTTTTAAGAACATTGCGCTACGCTAACCTTTCGCTATAATTATAGATCTCGTCACTTTTATGTCCGTTATTACGAAACAAAGTGTTTTCTTAGATATAAACGCTTTCTAGAATTCCTTTTGCGGATAGGCCATTTTCTTTAACAATTACACCGCTTTGCTGAACGATAGCATTCTAAAGAATGGAGTCAGCTTTGTAAAGCACGCTTGCACTATCGTCTTGAGACGCATGCCGCTAACTCTTCGGTGAGGAGTTATTAATAAATCAAGCTAGCCCTTCGCCGCCATAATCTAGCTAGACTACGTCAGTTTCGTATTAAAAGCCTTGATCGGAAGAATAGATTGGAACGAACCTCGAGTAGTAAAGGAATTAACCGCTATCTTTGCTATGTCTCGAACCTAGTTCTAGGAACACTTTATTAAGCATAAGAAGAAGTTGTTTTCGGCATTTAAAAAGGGATTTGCTATTATGTTAGATGCGGAAGCTAAGACTTACGGAGCTAAATCTTTTTCTAAGAGCAAGAGCCGCTGAGCTGACGACCTTGTGAACGCCGATAAGTTGAAGGATTTTGAAGAGAGCTTGCGACCGATTGAGTTGTCTTTTGACGACTCCGATTTAAGTATGGAGCTCAATCTAGAAAGTGCGAAATCTACCCGTGAACTACGGTTTACGGGCTAAATCGACGAATCTAAGGCATCGTCTTCTTAGCTGGAATCCTTAGACCGCGCTTTCGATGAAGCTATGGAAGCCTTGGGTGACTTGCCCGAAGACGAGGACGACCTTAGTGGCTCTGGACCTTACTTTGGCCTCGCTGACCCTCCGTCGGCCAAGTTCACACTTATTAACGATGCTACTAACAAGCGTAAGAACGACACGCGCTCTTTCACCCTTGAGGATGCTGCTATTAGCACTTTATTATCTAATGCTGGCTTAGCTAAGAGAAGAAGACTTTCCTAGCTTGAGGAGAACGAAGGAGTTGAGGACGTGAGTACGGAAGAAGACCATGAGGAAGCTGCCGAGGCGTAGTTTAGTAGTTTGGATGTTTGGAGTTTAGAGACAAGATACTTTCCTTCTTTTTTTTGTATACTAGATTTTTTCTTTTTTTTATACCCCTCTTTTTCCTTTTTGCTTGATGGTAAGCGGGGGCGCTTACTTATTCTATAAGGGGACGGATGTAAACACCTTGCCTGATAGGGTACCTGCCATGGCCATTAGGGCCACACTAGACGGACCCATCTTTTATAAGAGGGCATACATCTCTTAGCTAAAACAATCAACGAGCTTTCCACCTATCTTTTCTGACATTTCCTTGTGAGACCATGAGGTCTAGCCTCAGAGCCAAGCTTCTGTACGGCACATCTTTTTGGGTGCTTCTACAGTATTAACTTTTATTACATTCTTTCTTAAAAGGTCTTTATCGTTATCGATAATAAATATAAAATTTTCCGATTTATCGAGTTTAATTATAAATATTTTTAATGTTTTTAATTTTAATAAGCTTTGCTTAATATTAAGTTGAATTGTTTTTTTATGATTTTATTGTTTTTGTGCTAATCTACTCGTAAATTATAGTTCACGAGCGGAATTTCTTTCTAAGCTTCTTTTTAACTTAATATCTATCTTAGCTTGCATGCTAGCTATTAGTTTCTCGAGTCTTCGACTAAATCCGACTTATCTTTTGCAATAATAATTTATCTTTAAGTAAATCGATCGTAGTTTTAAAAAGAAGCTTTTATCGTATTATTATCGAAGTAAGAAAAAGAAAGTTAAGATTCTAAGAAAAAAAGCATGCTTAAGATGACCTCGTAGCTATTATTATTGATAATAAAGAAATCAGCGTAATTAATAATTCCGTTAATAATAACTTCGACGTCGTTTATTTACTTATCGAAGTTATAAAGATCTTCGAATACGATAATATAAATTAAAGCTCGATCCGTTATAATAAGTAGTTTAATTATCTTAGCTACTTTTTTATTTATTACGTTAACCTTAAATCTATTATCGAAAAAAGATTTGCTTTTGATTATACCGTCGATATTAATGAAAACTTTTAAAGTCTTTATTACTACTTCGAAGCAGTTGCAAACAATAAGTTGTTTGCGAATTTGCGTCGCTAAAAAGTCTAGCTTGCCTTCTTTATTCCGACTTAGACGTCCAACAATTAAAGCGTTCATAAGAATAAGCTTACTTTAAAAGACTTTTACGTTTTCTTTAGCATCGAAGACTATTAAAATGTAATAGCTTAATAGCTTGTCGAAGCGAGAGCTGAGTTCGAACAAGTCTTTAATTTAGACTTCGATTCTCGATTTTATAATAGCCGCTATTGCTTTTTTTTAAGCTTTAATAATAACGTAAAAGTTAATAAACTTCTCTCGTTTATAAGTCCTTTTTTTCTTTCCTTTTAACACTCGCTAAGTGATCTCGACTTCTTCTTCTATATCTTTTATAGCTTCGTCGGCTGCAGCTAATCTAAAAGACTCTTCTTTAATTATACTATCGAATAACTTATCTTTTAAGTTTATCTTTATAGCAGTATTCGATTCTTAAAAAGCACGGGCTTTAAAAGTGTTATAGTTCTTTTCTTTTTGTTATCGGACATTCTTCTTAATCTTAATAAGTTTAAATCTTTTCGAAAGCGAAAGAAGCTTTTTAGCTTTGTCTCTTGCGGCGGCGTTGATTTCGACCGAAGCGACCTTTATATTAAATAAGTAGCTAAGCGTGTTGATCTATCTTATAGCATTAATATTTTTAATGTCGACTAATCTTTTAAGAATAATAGTAAGTTCTTTTAGCTAGTTGGTTAATTGTTAAGCATTTTGATCGAGCTGATATTAAGCTAGCTATTAAATTAATTATTAATAAAAGAGCAAGTGTTTATAAGTCTTAAGTCCGCTAGTAAGCCGATTCTTTAAGATGTTATCGTATTCCGTCTTACGAACGTTTAATACGATAAATCTAAACTAAGTCTTTCTTTGCTTTTTTTAAATAATAGAAGCACCGATCCTCTTAAGTCTTAAGCAAAAGCGTTCGTAATTATTAATGTAAATACATCTTTTATTAATTATATTTTTAAAAGCTTTATATTTATTTCGATATTAATAAAGAGCTTGAGTTGTGTTTTCGAAGTTTTCGTAAAAGCTATAATCTTGCATCTAGCTTTTATATCTTTTACTTCTTCTTCTTCTTCGTCTTTATAATCTATAGCTGATAGCAGCAATTTAAACTCTACTTTTAAAGCTGACCTTACTTCGAGCATTTTAAGCGGTATACTTAATAAAAGCTTCGTCGTAATCTTCGAATCGAACTTAAAGCTAAGACTAGACAAAGCGTCGGGAAGTTGAGTTAGCGACTTAATCTTCGAAGTAATCAATTCAATTATAGATCGCACCGATCTATAAGTTAGAAAACTTTTTAATTATAAAACTTACTTTATCAATTCTTTTTTTTTCACTCGTAAACCGTAGTTCACGAGTGAACAGTATTACTATTAAAGCTTTCTTAGCAGACTCAAAAACGCTAGCTAGCTCGGTATGTTCTTTAATTAAAGTCCGAATATCCTTAATAAAGTTAATTAAAAAAGACTTTTCTCGATTTATAGCTTCGATAATCTTAGCACTTTAATCGGTCTTAAAAGCGAATACGACGAAGTCGTCGAAAGCGGCATAAGAGTCTAAGTCGAGTTCGTCGACTTTATAATGCTTAATCGTTTTGTTTCGAATTCCGACGAGCAATCCGAGAAAGAACAAGCGGCTTTATTCGGTTTTGCTTAATAAGTGCATCGAAGTAAGTCTTTCGAAGACTCGAAAGAAAGTGCGATAATAGTTTTTTAAGTTATTAACATCTCGTTTTTATATAGCAAATTCTCGTAAGAAAGCGATCGAGTCTTTAATCTATTAAGTATCGTTTTTACGAAACTCGGCTTTTAAAGCTTTAACGAAAGCAGCTTAATCTTTCTTAGCTTTCTATTCGAGTAAGCTTTTAATAACTTCTTTACGAAGATTATTATAATAACGGAAGAGCTTAATAAACCGATCGTCTTTAAGAATACTAAAGTCATTATAAGTCTTTTTATACTTTTCGATAAAGTCGGTGATATTAGCATTATTAAAGCAAAGAGCTTTTAAAGCATTTAGCAATAGCATGCGAGTAGTTATAAAAGCGTGAAAGATGATAAGGTCGATTATAACTAGCGCAAAGCTTAATAAAAGAGCAAGAGAAGCAAAAGAAAAAAGAGTAGTATAAATCTTAAGACCGGTATTCATTTTAAAAAGCATTTCCGAAGCAAGTGTTTCCGATAGAAGTAAAGGTTTTAATTAAAGGTCGAAGTAAGATAAAGATAGTCCGAAGCTTATTAGAATACAAGTTAAGGATTTAATAAATTTAAAAGATTCTAACGAAAAGAGAAGTGACTCTACGCCGACTTCGATATTAAAAATCTTAAGAAGGTTTCTAGTATTCTAAAGATCAAACATATGTGTGTGTTAAAAATAATTAAGTTAATAAAAGGTTTTTGAATTGTTTAATTTTAACTCGTAAACTAAGTTCACGAGTAAAATAAGCGATTTTCGCAAAGTATTCTCGATCCGAGATTAAAAAGAGTAGACCTTATGTAAAAGTAAACTAATAATCAAGATCAAAACTATAAAAAACTTAAAAATCAATTAATTAGCTTCGTTAACAACTTCGGACCATATCAATTGCTTTAATTCAAGATAAGAACTAAGATATAAAAGGATATTTTTATTAATAGATGAAAATTCTTTTTTATTAATAATAAAAAGAAGTTTTTGCCGAAAAGCCGAAATATTGCATTTCGGTTATTCCGGCATTTCGGTGTCCGAACCTATCGAAAATAAGGTTTTGATTGTTTAAAGTTGTAATTGTAAAGTAAAGTGCTAAATGATAAACGAAAATCAACTTGACTGCGAATTAAGCGATTATAATAAGCTGTATAAAAACAAAGACTAAAGGTTTGAATCTTTACGTAAGTTACTAATGTAAAAGCACTTAAAAAGATATGCCGTATAAAAGCTTAGCTCTAAGGCTAGACCTTATAGTCTTATAAAAAAGAGTTAAAAAAGATAAGTGGAAAGCTCGTTGATTGTTTTAGCTAAGAGATGTGTGCCCTCTTATAAAAGATAGGTCCGTCTAGTATGGCCCTAATGGCCATGGCAGGTACCCTATCAGGCAAAGTGTTTACATTAACACTTAACTTCTTAACCTTAACCTTAATACTTAACTTCAACTTCTCAACTTTAATACTCAACTTCAACTTCTTAATTAACTTTAACACTTAATTACAATTACATTCAACTTAAGTAATTATTTTCTTTTTGATTCTTTGCTTTTTGATTCTTTGCTTCAAGCTAATTATTTTCTTTATTTAACAATATCGATTCCTTTCTTTTATAACGCTATAGTCGAGGTCAACCCTTTTAGCATTAATAGCAATAAGCTAATCAACGAGATACTTAGTTGCTATAAAGATTTCGTAGTCGTTTATATTAATAGTAGCGTTGTTAATTTAATGTTTACTTACTATAACGGGGAGGATACCGCTTTGTTTTTAAGACTAATCGGCCTCGATTACGAATAAAAAGGTCGCAAAAGTTTTATCGACGAGTTCGGCATTAAGCATTACGGTGCTAATAAGGTTAGTAATAACATCTATATTCTATGATCACTAATTGATTTTTTATTTAAAAAGAGAGCGCTTAAGTCTTTTGTCTCTTCGACCACTTTGTCGTTTTCTTTAACGCAATTAGAAAGCAATTCACTTATAAGGATGTTAAAGTTCGATTGATCTTAAGTGATCTTACTCTTAAGCTTTTCGATAGCGATTATGCCGAAGCTAAAATCATCTTAAAAGAGCTATTAATGCTATACCCTTTTACTATCGATAGCACTTTGATATACAAACGCTTCACTTTTAAGTTTTCGGATGAAAATGAGTT